AATATCCTTCCCTTCTAAGGAGGATCCTAAGGTTCAGCTGAGATTAAAAGGAATCTTCTTCATAATGACAGCTGAATTACCCTATGGTATTTCCTTCATCTAAATGTCAGAGGTACAAAGACCGAGCCCACCTCTGAGATGCCAGGAGACCATCTACATGCCTTTGAAGTGCTTTCCTGCAATCTATTTGTTTTTGAATGAATAAATCTTTTTCAAAAAATGGGTGAAAAACTCTCTCCTAATCATGTCTTTATCTAATAGTTGTTAGTTAATATTTCATGTTTTCTTTTGATTTGCTGCAAGATGGCAACTTTTTTCTACCATATCAGCATTYGGTAAGATGATTTCAAGAAAAAAGTCTGGATTTCTTGGTAAATAAAATAGTTTTCATTAAAAATGGAAAAAGTGGGTCAGCATGCAAAACAATAATGCACTGAGGCTTGTTATATGAGCATCAATCTATTTTGCCTTGACATCTGAAAGGGCTTTCTCTCAAAGGACACATTTAAGTATTAAAAATAAGGTCTAGATGAGAAATAGAAATTTTGAAACTAATCGCTTTCAAATAGTGGAATGTGAACATGACTGCTGAGATGTTCAGTACTTTTACATCACCACAATACATAAGCCTAGAGGTTTCCAGTAGCACAGGAAGGTAAAAGGAAAGCCCAAGCAAGCCAGAGCTAATGTGTTCACAACTGGTCCTCCCCCAGATAATTAGGGTGTGTAAATTGTGTTAAACTCTGGTATTTCAGAATCAAATTAGCATCCTTTATGCAGCCTTCACTGGGGCTGCATTGATGGAACCAGTTTTTGGGGTTTGATTGTTACTTTTGGAAAGTCATTCAAAACTACGTAAAAGAAAAAAGACTCCCCACACTCTCTTTTCCACTCTGAATAAAAGAATATAAAGAAAACATTTTTTTTTTATTATAATTATAAGCCTCTTGCAGGCAGCTAGAATTCAAATACGGCTTTATCTTTTGAGGAAAGAAAATAATCTCTTCCATCATCATAAAAACACACAAACCATACAGCYTAAATCAACCCTCTGCAACACTGCTTGTCCAACCTTTTTAATATCACACTCAAATACATTGTTTGAAAGCACGTATGATTTCTAAAATCTTTTTCTTGCTTCACTTTCATGATGACAAACTGGAGCCTATATGATTCACACTATGAAGGGACAAACTGTACTGGGAATTATTTTTGCTTCAGCAAGTATCTGTTTTGTAATTCCACTGAGTATAGAGTTTTATCTCTCCCACCATAATACATCTCTTGTTGATAAAGCCATGTGAATACATGAATAGCAAAGAAAAAACAACAGTATTGGTCTAAAGCATAAAACCACACTTATGAAGCATTTTGATGAACATCAGCAAGATGTATAATATAATTATTGTGGCCATTAAGCTATTATTTATGACAAATCTGTAGGCTTTTTTTTTTTTTTTTTTTTTATCTCAAATGAACAACAGCCTTACTGCACTTTAGGATTATAACTCTTGAGAGTCTATCAAATGTACTGGCAGATGCAACAAGTAAGAGMACAAGGCAATAGCTCACTGCTGTTACAACACAAAGACTAGATGTTAAATAACTTAATGTGAGATCCTATACTAGATTAGAAAGCAAGAAATACAGGACACTAAAGATAACAGAAGAAACATAATAAAAAGAAAGTATTGTGTAGAAAAACAGAAGACAATGTTACCGTACATTTCTTTTTTTTTTTTAATCTAATACTGAATTAATTTCTTGTATCATTGAAGTATTAACAGAAAAAGAGTACCGGGACACAGCATCATGAGACAAGTAGGAAAAAATAATCAATACAGCCCAAGCACTGCCACTGCCTCTTACTGCATCAATATTTTCACCTAAATATTCATTATACATATATATATACACACACACACCAAAATCTAAAGATGAATAAAATATTTTAAGACAATAATACTAGTATGGTCCTTATTAGCATCATATCAATGAAGCTCACTCAATATCTCTGTGACAGCTCTTGCTATATGAAAGTGCTATCAATCACATTTTAAAAATGAGAAAATGGGGTCCTTGACAGTTTCTCTAGATGCCTAACTCCTCAAGTCATTAACAATTTGACTAAGAGACTAGCTTGGAAAACTCAATAAATTTGCATCTTTATCCACCTTCGTATTTTTCAAATTCATCCAAACCTGGTCATCTTCCAATCATACAAGAAATACAGGAAGACAGAAAGGAATCTTCATCTTCCACATTTGGACATTTGCCTTCTTATCCATGGCAGCTAGCACAGCAGAGATGCTAGACTTCAGYTACACCAAGAAACAACACTAACCCAGTAAAGCTGTTTTGAAATATAATCTTTTATCTCACTTTGCCATTCTACTTGCATCCTCATGTGAGGAATTAAGAAAACTGTAGATWTTGGGGTTCCCTGGTTCAACAAGTGTTTAAATGTTTCCCAAGTCACAATTCTGAGCAACTGATTAATTCTCAGCGCACAATTTCCTTGTTGATTTGCGGTCTACATGGAAAGAGAGGGACAGAAGATAAATGATTCTCAGAGAACAGAAGATCTGTACAGATACTACAAGTATTAAACCCATCTAATAATCTTATGGGTCAGGAATTAAGAGCGTTGCAAAATTATWATTGTCCAAGAATGAAATTAGAAGAACTAGGGAGAACTCCATAATTAKTCCTCATTAATCTGGAACATGGTCACAAGCCTGTAAAAAGGCAGGCACTGAGAACTTCAAATCCTGTTTGACAGATGGGTTTAATTAGTCATTCTCGTACAGACTCATAATATTTGCTGTTAATATTCMTTCTTAAACACCCTGCTGGCTGTGATAATATTTATATGTTAATCCTGTTATGATAAGCTTTCAGTGCCAAAACCTCTCCAAATAAAATGAGTGATATATTTCAAAGTTAGATAAAGAAGTGTGCAGGCATCCTGGTTAAGTTTGTCACTTGCACAAGTGCCTCCTTAATCCATGAAATTACACCTGTCACAGTAAGTTAGCTTTATTAACACTACTTCCTGATCCATGTAAAACTATCCAAAACACAAAACCYCTCAATTTCTAGTTAATTAACATTGCCACCTTTGCATTCATGTGATCAGATCTCTGTTTTTAAGAGTAATTAAACAATATGCAAATAGAGTTTGTAGAATTTCTAAATGAACTATAAAGGCAAACAACTTGCTAAGAGGCATCAATATTTAACTGTTCTTCATTGTGCACATTTAGTGACAGYTAGATAAAGGAAAATTATTTCCTCCTCCTCCCGAAATACTGAGCACACTCATTCCACAAAATGCTTGACCTTACTACTTAAAATGAATATCGAAGTATAGGTGACTAAATTTAATCAGAAAAAAATGCTGAATAATAGATTGCAAATTTTTTATTTTTCTTTACAAATAATGAACAAGGAGTTTTCAAAAGTGATATAAACACCAAGTCTCAACTGAGGAAACTCAGATGGAATAAGTCAAAACAAAAGTTAAGAATGCCTTCTCTGGATTTTCTTTTCAGTAAAAGTGAAAATATATCTCAACTTGTGTTTTTTTAATCAAACTAAAGTCATATTTAGAGACAGCCTAAGAGAGCATACAGCAACAACTACCACTGCATGAAAGGCGACATCACACTTTTTTGAAAAAAGGGTCATTTTGAAAGCCAGACGCTGAGTGATGAATAGTGAAATGAAAGAAGTTGCGAAGCGTCAGTTTATCCAGGATGTTGARTTATGATTTCCCCAAATCAGGAGGCAAAAGCAGGTAAGTTCACCACACAGACCCAACAAAGTCAAGCATGACAGAAACCTGCGTGTTGAAGTAACCATTGATTCTGGCCCAAAGCCCATTGCAAACTGTGGAAATACTCTCACTGTCTTCAGAGAGCTTTGAACTGGAATTTTAAAGAATCCACCCAATAGGTTCTTGTAGAAAGTAGCCAGCTATGACCTTAGACATATAGATGCATTGCTACTTTAACCAGTAAAATCAGTCAGGTATTACACAACACACAGGTTAGATGACACAGTATAGTCAGGATTCTGTATCAAGGAAATTGTGCAGAAACTTAGTTTTAATAAGGAGAAAAGGATTTATGCAATGATTCTAAAGGGAAGCTCTTCCCTTTCTCTTCATCCTCCCAAAGACATGAAGTTTCCCAATTACGAAGTTCACAGAATTTTTATATAAAAACTCTAAATTATATAGGAAATTTCCCAAGCCTGTAAAATTCTGCAAAATTTAACAAGGAAATAACAGCAAAWTTAGAGATTCTCTGTAATAAGATGAGTTTTCTAACTATGATACCACAGAGTATTCATATACACAACCTGTCAGATCCTTATAAACATATACCTACCATATACTTCCAGAAAGGGTGGACCAGAAGCAGCAAAGAAATATAAAAATGTAGTCATGAAAGTGATGAGAAAAGGAACAGCCAACTGCCAGGTGAGAGTTGCTCAGGAGAGTCTATATTCAATGTAAGAGACGRCACAATGGGAATGTACGTGGGAAGACCTATTTTCCACTGCAGATTAAATATTCATATAAAATTCACTAGCAGAAATGTGGATTTCATATAGGAATATATTTTAGCTTCCTCTGGAAAGCTTAAGATCAACTCCTCTCCCCATAACTAGCAAAAGCCTGTTTTAATGCCTCCCAGCAAATAATTTGAAGAGATTTAACTAGTCAGAATTAAATTCAAAGATATGAAACATGTTCTTCTGAATATTCTGTGACAGCAATATTTCCTGTTAGTTTTCACTTCCCTTGAGTATGAAGATTGAATAATAATTTTATTTAAAGCACAGGTGGTTAGCAAAGTAAGAGTTACCAATACATTACTACTACTCGCAGGCATACTTAGACACTAATAAAATTAATTAAAATAATGACAAAATGAGTGAAAAAGAAAACTCACTCTCAGTTTGTAAAAGACAGACTGCTGGAAATGACCTACCTGTTTTCTGAGGTAACAGATTTCCTCTGGCAAACAATAACAGCTGGTGCATATTTCCCRGTGTAACCCAGGGTCTCTCTGATGTCCCATAAGTATGGGCTGCTGGCTCGTACGCTGAAAACATTCAATCCTTTCTTCACCTTTGCTCTAAGGGGAACAAGATGACATTTGACCAATAAGACACAAAGCATCAGTTTATTTTGTTACTTATTTCTTCRTTATCTTCTCATTGACCCACAGAAAGTGCTACCATTCATTAGCATTTCACAGTATTACAAGGAAAAGATTGAGAATTAATCATGAATTTCATATTTTAATGAAATGTCATGAAGATAAAAACCTTACTGAACTAAACAGTAAATACAACTTAATCCTGTCTAAAGTGCTGGGTAGGATTGTTCTAGTGTCACCCCTCAACTATTGTCCTTCCAGTCTCAAAATCATGAGTGCTACTTGTTCCAAAATTAAGTATTTGCTGTGATTTGTATCTGAGTCAGGAATCAAAAAACTTTCCCAAGTCTTGGGATATACAAAGCCTACATTGACTCTCAGTTACTCAAAGTGAGAACATTTCATAACTTTGCTTCAAATTTCACCGAGTCCATAACACGTCATTTCTTTTCAGCGCTGTTGGTAGAGCTGCTCTATAGGCTCCTATCCCCAAAATACTTCGCATGTGCCTAGTCTTCCAAAAGCTATATTCCCTACCTTCTAGCCTTCTCTCTGCAACTGTGTTTCAACATTCATCTCAAGACATTGGTGAATTATTCCATAATTAGGTTATATCGATCAACTTACTGCATTAGGAGTGTGTAGTGTTGTTGACTTTTGATTTCCAAATATGTTTACAAAAACAAAGATAACCCTCTGTGGTCAAACAATCTCATATATGAGCTGTCAGAAAATGGCAGCTTAATTACTTTTGCTTAAAGCCTCATACACAAAATTTATTCAGTGTTATGGCAAGTTCTCAATTCTGAGAGTTTTTTTTTTTTGTGTATAAACAGCTGCTACCACGCMGAGATGCTAATGTCAGGAAAACATAAACTCCAGAATCAACCTCCTTATGAAACTCATTGTCTTGAAGGACAACTTCCATATTCTGGAGCAGCAAATTTATGTTCCTGGACATGTATGTCCAGCTCCCAGGGTCTCCTTGGGGCACCCACAGCAAGACCACTCCAGYTGTGAGACATCTGGAAGTTGTGGATAAACAATTTAAGTCTCCCATCAAAACAGATGCTTTCCTGTGATTCAAAGTTGGGGGCACATTACAACCAGTATGTAAAATCATAAAACACTTGACAAATTTGATGCATTTTATTAGTAAAGTTGGGAGGAGTTAAAGAAAAAGGCAGTGTAAGAGCACACCATATTCTGCCTTGCACTGCTGACCCTTGTGCAACAGCTGCACCATACCCAAGAACGCAGCCCAAGTCCTCAGTTCTGCTAAGTCAACAGCCACTCACCAAAAACAACAGAAATTTCTCACTTCCATTTAAAAAAAAACAATATAGGCAGAACAAAAATCAATATACAGATACAGAGACAATACTGATAAAAGCCTTTTATTTTCTATATGGATTCTGTTAATTGCCAGSCTGATGCTACAAAGCAACAAAATGGACACAAAAGCAGAAAGATGAGTTTATCTGTGACATTCATATTACCCAGTGAAACTGTCATCTAGCACTGATTTCTAATGTTTCAAAACAAATRTAAACTCATGCATATTCTCCTTAGGGTAATTGCAGTCTAAGGATCAGAATTYCCCACAGCAGTTTTCGGTAAGATCTAATTTAGTCATCTATTAAAACCTCAAACCTCTAATTTTACTGAAAATAAAAGCAGAACAAGATTGCTGTTTTCTGCAGAACTAGAGGTTAGCAACTTTTCAGAGAAGAGTCACTTAAGTATACTTTTATAATTAGTACAAAAGCTTCAACTCCACCACGCCAGGCAGAGCAGGTTCTTGGGCTGTCTGGATGCTGCTCTTGCTGATGTTGGGAATCCTGTTGGGGATCCTATAGTCACCCCATTTACCAGGGCTTGGCAATCATCCAGGAACAGCCAGGATGAAACAGGGTTAATAGCAGCGGAGGGTTTATTATTTGTCAGCAGATTAAGATTTGAAGATGCTTAAATAAAAGGATGACAACAGCAATCAGGGATCAATTCCTGCTTCTTTAACTAAACTTTTCCATAGCTGCTTGATCCAATTGGCTTCACTCCAATGTGCTGCCCMAAGACTTGCAAGCAGCTCTCCCTCCATAAACCCCCTGTGACAAAGCAAAATTTGGGAGAGCTCAACCCTGAAAAACTGTCCATGCTGATGGGCTACAAAGGCAGGGAAGGGGAAAAAAATAAGAGACATAGAAGGAACCGCCAGAATCAACACATCACACTGGAAACCAAACAAATACAAATCCTAAATGCACAAAAACAGGGATTCCCAGTTCCATCCCCTGACCCACTCGGCACCATGTTTACTCGAGTGATAAAAGAGGCTGCGACTCCACCAATTAAAATGCAGGCGATGTCCTTTTTCATTTATCAAAGTGTCTGTTTTAGCGTCTCTCCAGTTTTTGTAGTTTACAACCAGTTAGCGCTCAGCTTTCAGCCCCTGTCATTACTGCAGGCTGGTAATGGCTGTGAAATTGTTACTTAAGTGTGGTATAAAGTGGAACAGCTGGCTGGTGAAAAATAACAGCATTACAGCCCATGTGCTGCTAAGTGCCGCGGTACGACATCAACCAAGTGCTGGGCTTGAAACACCACAGGGAAAAAGGGGGAAAAAGAGGGAAAGGAGGCACAAATTCTCCCTCCAAGGTATGCATGAAGAGATCAAGGACAAGGGTGGCTCAGGAGCTGTAGAAATGCTGTCCCACGTGGGATTCCCTCTTCAAGTCTTGCTCCCACCAGCGTTCTGGTGCAGGATGCCAGGGTCACGCATCCCTCTGCTCTAAATAAACAGAGGCTCTAACCCCCCAAACAGCACTAAATAAAGATATTCTAAATCCGTGACATTGATCCTGGTTTTCTATTACTGTGAGGGCTCTAGGCAAAACACGTAGGAATTTTTCATGCTTCTTCTGCTGCGCGAGCTTGCACCATGAAAGCAAAAAGGAGAAATGGGAGGCTATTAACACGGGTGCTGCCCCTGGTTATCATGTTACCAGTGCTGATAAGAGGTGGCAGATAAATTGTGCACAGAAAGGCAGATTTTTGAGAGCTTCTGGGCACCCAGCAGACGCTGCCATTCTTCAGCATGCTCTGAATTTGCCTTTGCCATCAGATCTCCCCAAAGCACATCAGAAATAGCTTGAAGGGTTTCTATTTCTGTTTGTCTTTAAGTACTTTTTACTGTTCAGGGCCTAATCTTAACCCTGCAACAGAGAGGAACCAAAGCAATATTTAGCTTTATAAACTGACTCCACCTTTGTGCAACAGCAGCAGCAATGGGTTTGGGAGGCGCTTGCTGGTACAACTGCCAGCACAAAACATCGCTAACCACGTTAACATCTCACTGCAACTAGTCTTCAAAATCAATGACAAGCAAAATGTGAATGGAAAAAGACACTATTTTTAGTCTTCTTCCATGAAGAGCTATGACAGCAAACTGAGAAGCTGCCCAGAGAAGTTGAAGAAGCTCCATCTTTGGGAATATACAACACCCAAGTGGACATGGCTCTGGACAACTTGCTCTAGCTAACGCCGCTGGGCCAGGTGATCTCCAGAGGTCCCTACTAGCCCCAGCTATCCTGTGAATCTAACTTTGAGAAAGCTTTTCCCCTCATGRGATATACCGGAGTACAAACCAGCGTCGTCAGTTATTTCAGAGTAGATGCCTCCACATTTCTTCAGATTACACTAATAGTTTCACTGATTGAAAATCCACAGCAGAAGAGAATCGGGAGTCCCTGAGATACCGATGGAGTTAGAATAATTTATGGAGAGCGGTCTAGCACAACATAAGCTATTTAAAGCTGTATAATATACCCACAAGCTCTTATTAAGGTCTGTGGTTTTCAGCCCTGTGAGACAGAAATCAGTTATCATTATGCATCACCATGAAAGCAGATTAAAATTAAATCAATCTGTTTATCTATGGGTTTGCAATGCAGCTTTTCCAAAGCATAACATGGGCTCTATCTAATTAACATTTCTGCAGGAAAAAACATTCCACCCAGACACTAAGCCACCATAATTCAAATGGAGATATTGCAAAGACAGAGAGAGAGAGAGAGGGCGGGGAGAAAGAGAGAAAAATGAATCCTTAAGGACTCAGGTGAATTTATAAAAATTATAATTAGTAAAAAAGGCACAAGATCAATTTAGGTTTCAAAATCTGGATTGTCCATATCATGAGTTAAATACTAACCTCTTTGGAGTATGAATCTCTTGGACTTGACAGAATTGTGCTTGGAGTTTGTGTGTGTGCAGACTATCGTGCATGTGCACATATGCATTACGTATGTGTACATGCATTACACATCTAGATATTTAGACATTGTTACAGTTTAAAAAAGAAAATTCTTATGAAAACTAAGTTTTACAAGAGGTAAAAAGAACCAGTCTGTGGAGAATTAAGAGGAAAGATTGGACACAAAACGATTCGAGGCAAAGTGCCAAATGCAAGCTCAGAAAGCAAACCCAACCAGTGGGTAGCACCGCACCTCTGTGGGGATCCCAGCAAAGCCCACCATGGGATCCCACCATGGATCCCAAAGGTGACAGAAAAATCAAGAACAGGTTTCTTGTATACACTTCACCTCTGCAGCAGCTGCACCCCTGGCCAGGCTTCATCTCGTGAAGAGCTCAGGGTGTCGAATGGGTGGCAAAGCAGCGAGGAAGAGGAGAGCAGCCGTGTTGTGCCCCAGGGTGGCTTTACAGGATTAGAGGCTCCTGGCAGGCAACATCCCCGGAACAAGATAGATAAGTCAGGACTACTGCTGCTGACAGTGTTCCCATTAGAGATGTCCTAAGGAGGCATTATTTTGTTAAGGGACAAGCCTCTATTCTCACCAGTACACAGATATATATTACGAATTATGAGTGTAATGATGGAGCATTACTGTCTTAGGTTGATAGTTACAGTTGAAGGTAAGGAAGGAAGACACAGTCTCTGTCTGCTCGAAAATACCTGG